AACAACAACCAATTTGTGAAAATAATATAAATAGTTGGGAGATTTTTTTTTTACGTCTAAAACTCATGACAAAAATCAAATTCATTCATGAACATGAAAATCTAATTAATTTGAATCAATGAATATAGAAAAAGAAGTGTGTACATGAACTTAGATTTTTATTTTAATAACCATGGAGGAGGGTCCCTTTGGGGAAGGAGTAAAAGCTACGTGGGAACCTGGGAACCAACAAGGGCACAACCTGCGATTTACCTCCACTAGTCACTGAGGGGCCGGGGGCTAGAGGTCCAGGATTTAGTCCGGCTAAGCTGGGACACCTGGGTTATCAAAAAAAAAAAAAAAGAACTTAGATTTTTATTTCTACTAATGTTTGTGTGTTGTCATAGGACTCCTCTACTTCTGCTATCATGAACCTAGCAACTTTGATTCTATCTTTGACCTCATTTTCAATGTTAATTATTATTATACATGCATCTGATTTTATACTTCACCTTCTTTTCAATGTTAATTATTATTCATGCATGTAAGTAGGGATAGAATCGTCCAAAAAATGATTCTCCATACATGTGATATTTAGTATATTATAGATTATAGATGATGGTAACTGATCCTATTGCAATTTGAACAGTAGCTGTATTGAGTATCTTGGAATATTCTAAAATCGAACTTCCAGAAGTAAAAAGCGTCAAACTAATCCATACGATACAAATGTGCATCACAAAATCAAAAGTAGAAACGCCAATTAAACACTCAAATTTGAGGGAAGCCTGAAAGATAACCAACCACACACTGCAATCGCCGTAAGGATGCTGATGATCGAACCTTCTGCCACAGCCGTCCGTTTCTCCGCCGTGAACTTCGACTCCGCCACAAGCCTTGTCCCTCGCTCTGCTACTCTCTTCGTATCCCGGTAACTGGACTACTTAAAATACAATGGAGGTCACCCAAATTTGAGTGAAGCAAACTGCTAAACTAGTTGTACATTAATTTTTCATTTTCAATTGGATCTGGAATTTATTTCATATGTTTGCTTGTTGAAAACATGAGGGAAATGATAAATTTTCTTCAGAAACTGGAAAATGCTGAATATTTGTATAATTGTATAGTTATATGCTATGCACTGTGCAGGAATAAATATAGAAGGTTAACGGACAATTTAGTTGGACGAAGGTGCGATGGAAGGTTCAGAAACGGAAATGGAATAAGAGCGATGGCTAAAGAGCTGTCAAGCTCGGGTCCGGTGAAGCAGAATGCTAAGCCACAGAGGTATCACCCGTCGGAGGACATTGCAGAGTCAGAAATAATGATGAATGAGGCGACCAGACTTACGCCAGCTGAAACTTCTCGTACTATAATTGAGGTAACACTGAAGAAAAAATATATGATTTTTATTTGATTTTACAGCAAAAATTTCTCAACTTAAGATTAAATGCTAATGTTGCATTAATATTTGATTCTTAGATGAATAGCAAAGCGACACTGATGTTTTCTGGTTTTGTGAGCGATGAAATTCACGAGGACATTTTCTGGCCAGATTTACCTTATGTAACTGATGAGTATGGAAGTAAGATTTTTGCAATCGTGTTCTCTTTGTTGTTTTTCATAATTAAATAACATTATATATGTGGTAATATACAGATGTTTCACCTGGTTTTGTATTTGTATAAGATGTATACTTTCAAGTGAAGAATGATGAAGATGTTTTGCAAGCTCTAACTTCTGAGGAAACCATCGTGGTAAGAGCTAAAAATATACATGACTAAGAGAATTGATTCATATATAATTTTAGTGGAACTGTTAACAAAGCAAACAGGAAAGCATTATATTCATTTCTATTAATTGCCTGGCAATTGCTTAGTCTGGTGCATCAATACATGGTAAAGTTATTCTGCTCGATGTCCATATCATTCTTGATTTGGTCTTCATGTAGAAAGAACTTCTAGTGCTAGCTTGAAATCTAAACGAGAAAAGGGATTATGGGAGAGAGAAAAAAGATTCTGTATTGCTTTCTTCTCTTAATGTTTAAGACAAACAAAATAAGAGAAAGGGGATTATTTTGGAAAAGAGAAAAAAGGGAAAATGTTCTGGGGACTAATGGGTTCTTCCTACTTAAATTAATAATTTATGGAGACTTACTTTACTTCTTTAATACAATGCAGCAAGTCATTATTGGACTAGATACAGCAGAAATAATCAGTGAGATGGAGGCATTAGGTCATGCAGAAACCCATTTTGGCATAGACGAGCTTGATGATGATGATAGCGATTTTGATGATGAGGACAATGATGAAGATAGCGATGGTGGTGAAGAGGATGATAATCATGAAAAGGTGCAATCTCTTTGTTCTATTTTCTTGATGCCAGAACTGTAGCACTGAAGTCTGTGGACCTTGATCCTATGCTCATCTGCAGGAATGGGTTGCCATTCTTGATGATGACGAAGACCAGGATGAGGAATCTGATGGATCACTAGGGGACTGGGCTAAACTGGAGACAATGCAATCTTCTCATCCTATGTATTTTGCCAAAAGGTTAACTGAGGTAACTATCTACATCAGATTCTTTTCTCCTAATGTATAGAAGTAAACCAAAAAATGAAACATGGATTATCTTGCCATGGCTACTAAACTAATTTTTGCTTATCTTTGGACTAACTTATAATCTTGTTATATATTTACCCCCTGTTTGAGCCCCATTTTTTCAAGAATTCATTTTTTCAAATCTCATTTTCAACCGCACATTCTCCCATAAAATAATTATGCACGTATTTCAAAAAAATTTCCTTAATTTTTAACCACACATTTGCCAAAAAAATCACTGTTCTATAATACATTTTACCCCAAAAGTGGGGATGAAACAGGAGCTTAATATTGTTATCATTGCATATCTCTTTCTGCTTAGAATAATTCTAGTTTACTTACCAATCTTATTACATCTCCAATCCAGTAAATTTTTCATTTTTTTTTTTTTTCAGGTTGTATCAGATGATCCCATAGATTTTATGGAACAGCCTTCTGCTGGTCTTGCTATACAAGGCCTTCTAAGACCTTCATTAATGGAAGAACACTCCATCATCCAGAAGCATATATCTGGCCATCTGTCAAGCAATGCCGATGTAAATCAGATTGCCAAAGAACAAAAGCCAGGAGGCATTGTTCAGATCAACGGCCATAAACATGAAAAGGAACCAGCTCAAAAAATCCCAACTTGGGCAGAGGAATTGGAGAACGATAAAAGTCTTGGAAATGGAATTTCATTTTACAAGCTAGAGATGATTAAAATTCAGTTAGTTTCAGTACAAGGAGATGAGGTAAGCACTTGATTTTTCTTTGGTGAATCTCACACAGCACAATCCTTTCATTCCTTATACTTGTTTTTTCTACCATCAAAGGTTCTTATGTTTTCAGGTTGTGCCCCCCCCACCCAAAAAAAAAGAGCTGTCAAATTTCAGACACTTCATCTTCCTATATTGTTTAATTCGGAATCTTGATCACTATATTAAACATTTTTCACTCAAAGAACAGAGATGCATATTCTTGCAACTTGCAAGCATTCTTAGAGATTGTAGAAGTCGTTTATGCTGCGACTGTTAATGAATTTCTTTTAGTCTAACTATTCCAAGGGCAAAAAATTCATTTTACAGTGTTTTGCATTTCTTCAAACATCACAATGGAATGGAAAGCTTCTCATAATATGCACTCAATAAGAAAAAGAGAAAGCATGTGCCCTCAAGAGTTACGAGAAGGAACTAGGATTTGCTACCATAGTTAATACCTAATCGTGCACGTGCAAGGTCAAATCTATCCTTCAACACTCCGTGTCAAGGTGGGAGCATATGTATCACATATTCCCCAACTTGTTACAAGTAATGCTACCCCTGAGACCACTCAATGGCTTGATGATTAGACCAGCTAACTGTTATATAGAGATTTAAATGCAACCTGATTATCGTATAATAAGTCTAAGGCTGAGAATGTACATATTCTGATATTCCAACTGTGGTGACATTTTTTTCTTGCTGGATACTTGAGACCATATAATCAGCCTGGGGACTGCATTCCGAAGATATGCATTACCGCTGGTGAATTCACAGTATCCAGCTGTTGACCTTCAATGGAATGGAGATCTAGCCCAGTTGGCATCACTGCACCTTTGAGATACTTAAAAAAAAATACACCTTGACGACTCTTGGAGATGTAATAAACTGATAAACCACACAAAAGATGTCCGGTCCTCTGACTATGAGATAGTTCAATTTTCCAACTGATCTTATATACCTTCCCGATTATCCTGTAATTCACATTGATTAACTCCAAGATACATGGATCTATAGGCTGTTAATATGTTTGGACACCCTTGGAGAACAGATCAATAACATATTTTTCTATGACACAAGGATCCCATGAATTGACCTCCCCACTTCAATATCCAAAAAGCATTGTAGCTGGAAGAGATTTGCTCTGGTACAGAAACTGTTTTAAGCCTTGAATTCTCTGGTAATCATCTCTGATGATCTGTATGTCAGCAACATATATAACCAACGAAATTGTATTTGGTTAGTATGCTCGTAGAACAAGTGATATGCACCGAGCATCTTCTAACCACACTCCATAACTACACCACTAAACCCACCAAACTGTGCTATAGGACTCTATTTAAGGTCACACGGTGTTTGCCTTTTCCGCTCAAGGGATATTTCTTATGCACCTTTCTATGCAATTAAGAAAGAGCCCAGACTTCTCCTCAGCAACAAAACTAGGAGGTTGCTTCTTATATACCCCAATCTCAAGATTTGCATCACCACGCACACACACTTTTTACATCTAATTGATGTAGAGTTAATTAAAGTGGCAGCCAGAAACCTGGTAAAGTTGACCATCTCCACTGGGTAAATGGTTCTCAATGATCCAAAGGCAATACATGTGGGTGTCAACTATTCCTCCAGATGAACTTCAATTTAAATACCCAATTACAACCAACACAGGATTTTCTTACCAGGTTAAAGATCTAATAGTTCCAAAAATCATCTTTAGTGAGCAGGAATCTCATCTGGTTTGAAGCTCTGTGATAATGAAAGAAGAAGCTTCCGAAAAAGACTTAGGGAAGGAGATGGATGTTGGGTTTGTGACCCAAATTAGGGTGGATTTTTTTTGGAAATAAATTGTTCTCTAATTTTTATGTGGGAAAATTTGTTTCTTTATATTTCACGTGATTTTTATGAAATTATATTGTTTTCTTATTCCACATTATTTCCATCTTTATGCTATGTCGTGTACCTATAAATAGTGGTATTCTCTTTCAATTTTGTTCAAGTAAGAATTGCCGAGTTCTTGTATTTCTCTCCATATTGTTGATTAATAAAACGTCGTGCGTCTGCGATTAACTCTCTTTGTTAATTTCTTTACTTTTAAATCTTGTTTCTCGTTGCGATTTTCGTTACTTTATATCGCGTCATTAATCTCATTCACTACAATCTTTCCGAGTCCAACAATGGAGTCAACTAACAAAAGAAAGTAAACATGGAAAAGATGACACTCTACATTTAGCCCATAGTTATATACTAAATGGAAAAAGTATTCCCCATCTGAAAAATACTTAGGATATTGAAAGAAAAGAAAGGGTTTATGTCCACAAGTAGAAGGCAACGTCTATTTGTAATAGTAATAGGTATAAGATGATCATACAACTGTCATCTTGTTTTCAACCACGTAATAAATCAAAAGCGGTCTTGCACATTATAAATTTATTGAGTGATATACTATAATGCATTATACTTATTCATTCCTCATAATACACAGGATTCAACTGTTTGAGTTGAGAAATATATTTGTTTTCTGTGTCTACATATTCTGCTGTTGTGATCACCTTGCTTATATGATACTTATTTTCTGCATTGAACGTAAAACTCTGAACAAATTTATATTGACTGGATGGACATTTTGGATTTGATACATAATCTTATGCTTTAATATTTTAACTTGTATTATGCATCCTGAAACATTTTGAGGTGGCATGCTTTTTGATATTATCCCCCAAGGCACAAGTTTTTAAATTTTTGTGCTTGCTGCACAGAGCTTCGTTGAGATAGAAGATTTTCGCAGAGCCCGACCTGATGCAATAGCACATTCAGCTGCAAAAATTATATCTCGTCTTAAAGCTGGTGGAGAAAAGACCACGCAAGCCCTTAAATCTTTGTGTTGGAGATGCATGGGTATTCAAGTACAGGTAACTCGGGAGTGGTATTTAAAAGTTCTTAGTTATTATGGGAAATCTACTTTGGTTATTGACTCATACTAGTCTCTGCAATCTTGTGAATTCGTAATGCGGTGATTATCCAAAACAATAGAGAGAGAGAATTTGAAATATTATGCCATAATGTTTTAAATGCTTAACTTTTCTTTCTACTGGCTGTGGTTGAATGTGACAGCATAAAGAATCTGAAAGAAACAGTATCAACCTTTCTCCCTGTTCACAAGTACTTAAATCTGAGTTTTCACCCTGAAAATATACCGTTTAGTTTCTCGAGATAAATTTATTAACCTTGTGATTGGCGTTTGAGTTTCTGTTCATGTTCTTGATTCATCTGCTAGTAACCACTTTAATGTGTAATACCAGAGGAGAAAGACAATCTTACATGTTAATAGAGAAATTTTTATATGCGAATGTGAAATTCTGCTGCTAATTTTCTTACTGGAATAATGTCAGGAGGTATCTCTTATAGGCGTGGATAGCCTTGGTTTTGAATTGAGAGTTTGCTCAGGAACACAAGTGCAGACATTACGCTTTGCATTTAAGAAACGGGTATATTTTAAATTCTTTCAGTTGCATGAACTACCTTTAAGATTCCAACCTGTCCTGTATGCTATGGCTGACATGCATGCAATCTACATAAAAATGGACACTGGTACAGACAACGGAGACAAGGTTGCGACTGGTAGTCCGCGTTACATAAAATTTTGTGGAAAAGATTATTAGTTGGAAGAGAATCTGTGTTGAATTGAAATTAAAAAACTTATCAACGAGAAAAAGAAATGAACCAAAAGTCACTATTTTATTCTTAGTTCTTAAACCCAGTTGTGACTGGAGAAAAACGTACCATCTTTGCATGTATAAACCGGTAATTCTTTCCATCCACTGAAGTATGTTGCATTTGCAGGCCTCTTCAGAGTATAGTGCTGAAAGACAACTGAATGATCTACTATTTGCAAGATCCCACAAGTATCAACAAAAGAAAGAAACTCAACAGACTGAATCGTAGCACGTTGTAAATTCGGGTAACTTCTGTATGTTTATGCTGTGCATGCAGTCCCAAAAATGTACATAGCGTGCAGTAAATTCTTGCTTCATTCCAGATTATTTATTCCTTGACTTCAAGCTTATAATTATGGACGTTTGTGCTCTCTATTTTCTCTTTTTCTTTTCGAGCCTTGCTGTATAGTTTCACTTTCTTGGCGAATGTGATGTTTTTATATCTTAAGGTGAATGTTGTAGCAAGTTGTTTAGGATTTAGGAATTATTTCCTTGTCAAATTGAAGACTACTGTAAATAAGTTAGCATAGACAAAACAGCTGATACTTCTTAAGATATCCATACCACGATTAGTTTTTTGATTGTCTAAGTAGTTAGTTGGTCCCTAACATTGACGGTCTTCTCCCTGCATGGGGTGCAATACTAATATCAGTTACTCTCATACTTTAGAGAGGTAAGCTCTACTGAAGTTTCTTAATGGGAAGCACTTACTAATAGCTTTATGTGAAAATTAAATTGCTTCTCAGAATAAGAATGAGAGGTGTTAAGCTTTTTATCATCCTGGCGTCGAGCTATTTTTCCGCAGGACCTCCCACACTAAGCATAGCAATTATATCAAATGGTCAATTGAATTTTTATTCAACCCTATAGAATTAAGAATTAGAATTGCTCATTTTGATTCGCACTTGGAAGCAGAAGTAGAAAAAGGAATAAATATAGTGATAATTTGATTCTTCGTCGCCGTAGTAAATAGGCGAGAAAATAGAATTTCTTTCTTCGTCTTTTATTCATACATGGAGTCAGGGGAAATGAAATTTTGTTTTTTATATTTCAAAAATGGACATGCTGGGAATCAACAACACGAAAATTTTGTTCGAAATTATCCCTTTCCTTATCGGGCTCGGGACTAAAAGAATGGTTGGGACAACAAACATCTATCTCGTAGGCATATCTATTTCTTCATATTTTGACTTCTATGAAGTTTCTTTCTTTGCTACAGCTGATAAAAATCGTTGTTTTAGACGATCATATGTAAGACGACTTTGTCAATTTCAGTATGAGTAATGATATTAACTGTGAATCATTCAAATGGGGATTCCTTGCTTAATTTGGATGTGTATTATATATCGCCAATGTTCGAGCACCAGGCGCTACGGCGCTGAAGTAACCCACGCCATACTCCCAGGAAAAGCTTGAACAACCTTTAAACAAAAGGGTACAGAACTTTTTATGAGTTAAAAGGCATGTTTAAAACGTTGTACTATGAGGAATAGACACTATAATAAACAAGAACTTTCATCACAGATCGCAAGTTTGTCCCCTGAAGCTCTGTGCCCAAAGCAGCCTTCTCCTCATTCTTAGGCTGGCAAGCTCAAAACGACAGGCACACATGCATACTTGTGGTAGGATGCTAGCCAATACCTGCGTAGGATAACACTATTAGTGTACCATTCGGTAAAATAGGCCATACGTATAGTTGTTGGCAACAATGCCGAGCTTTATGGGGAGAGGAGCACTTTTGGTGCGTGGCACAGTGCCTTGGCCCTTGGTGATCCTATAATTGCTTATGCCTCTGCAATATTCTGTTCTCAACCGCATCAGAATCTAGTTATAAGGTTTATATTGCGATCCCAAGCTATAGTGCTGCATCTAATAAGCAATACTGGCCCAAAAATATTAAGAATGTGGATATCCAACAGACAAATTGGCTCAGGCTTCTGGCAATACCACCATGCAATTTCCTATTTCTTGCAATCCAACACCTCAAAAGCAACTAGCAAAATTGGAGTTGAGATTTGCCGTCCAATTTGCTATCCATCCAATTAATTATTGACATATCATTTTGTGTGAGAGAAAATGTTTAATAGTGTTTAACTAGTTGTTAAAGTGAAAAATTAAAATTGGTGGCATGTTAATTTAAAATGACGTGTCAATGATTAGTTGGGTGAACAGTCTATATTGAACTGCAGATCTCAACTAGCAAAGTGTTCAAATTCCTTCGATGATAAGCTACAACAAAAGATCCCCAAGAACATTTTCATAACAATGTGACTACAAAGATATTATGAAAATACAACAAAAGATCCCCAAAAACCATCGATATTTGACATTTCTCGTGCAAAGAGACTCATTAAAACCACGTATGTAGATAACTTGATCGCAGAAAGCACGTTTCCTCGACTTTTTCACATGTGGTCGAATCAAATTTTCTCCAACTAGAAGTGCCCGTAAAAACTTCTCCTGATGAATATTCAAACTTTTTTGGGGGGATATTTGTGAAGGATCTATTTGATTGTGTTTTTCACTTAATATAATGATAAAAATTGTTAACTTTAAAATTCAGTTTATGCTTATGGTTTTATTAAATATTACAAGAAAATGGATAGAAGTCTACTAATATAGTACTATTCATGGTTGAAAATCTCAAATTTCCGCAATTTCAACGTAACCGTGGTTTTTTTTTTTTAATAAATAAATATGGTTAAACTTTAAAGCATGCTTTGCTAAGCTTATAGGATAAAATTAAAATTAACTTTTTACGTTTAAACATATTTAATGAGACCTAAGTTTCTTTTCTTTCTTTTTTTGTTTAAAATGGAAAAGAAAATATTTGATAAATAAATGTTGAATAAATTGATAACGCTCAAAAAATGAAAGCTACGGGTCAATGTTTTTAAGTTTATACCCATTTAAAATTCTTTAAAAACACTGCTATCATTTTTATTGGAATAGTTAAAGAATTACTCAACATTCATTATTGTAATGTTGTGTAATTTATCGGTATTATTTATTTATCCATTATTAATAATATGTATAAAATTACAACTTTAGCCCTATTATGGTTGAGTATGGTTCGGTTCGGTTCTAATGAGAATCGAATCGGACTCGAAATTTTCGAGTATTTAGTAAGTAGAATCGTTCGAGTTCGGTTCCATTCAATTTAGTTCGATTTCATTTGGTTTCCAGGTTTTGTACTATTATTAATTTTTTCAATATTTACAAAGCTACAATAATTATACTAATGATATGTTTAATCTTAACTTTTACAAAATAATGTAGTTCGATCTTATGTATATTTTACGTCTCTCTTTGTTGAGTTTTTCATAATTTTAATTGTTAAAATCACAGGAAGATGAAGACGATGAATTCACGATAATTAAGAGGCACTGTTGAGCTTCAATCCGATTTCTCTAGAATGGTAGAATGGTACTACGGTAGAATGACAGTTTTTAAATTTAGGTCAATTTGATTAAATTGGGTTTGGATTGAAAATTAGAAATAGGAAAATCATATTTTTGGATTTAAGTTAAATTAACTAGTTAGCAAATTTATTTAGAAAAAAATAAAATAATTTGGTTTGTTTAAAATAAATAAATTTAAAAAATTAGAAAAATTCGATTCTTATTCACTTCTTGATCTAAAATCGAGAATCGAATCGAACCGATCGATTCTTGATTTAGATACTCATTCGAATATTTAACTTAAGAAGAATCGTTGGATTTAATTCGAGAGTTTTGTCTTGTCCCAAGCTCCAAACTTATTATTTTATTTTATTGAGGCTAACAATCCACCGTGTTCCAGACACCGTGCCCTTTTGTGAATTACTAACCATTTCTCTGTTCTCTCTTTACTGAATTCTTCGATTGAACAGAAAAAAATTATCATCAAAATCTGATAATCGAGAAATTGAGTACGATTTTGTCACGGTTAAGACCTCAGCTGGAGCTGCTCTCTAACACATCCGGATTCAACTACAGTTCAGCTGAAATCAGTTAAACCAGTAACAAATTACAAACAAAAGAAGTGGGGTGGGGGGGGGGGGCATAAGAGGCAAAAGAGGAAGGAACTGAAAGGAAATCTCCAATTTATTACTGAATTTGCAGATGAAAATGACAGAGTGCACTCGTTCGCGCACAGTGACTTGTATAATCAACCATGGAGAAAGTCGCATTTCACAAAGGAAAATAAAGTACGTTGCTAACTAATACATTTATTAAAACGACACCGTTTCCACTAAAGTACAACTCCGTTTTGATTTTGAAAATTGATTGTGGCTGTTTGACAATCATTAATTTTATTTTATCTTTATGATTTACCACATTTATACAGTAAAATATCCTACGCGCAGAGGGTTAATTGTTCCAATAGTTACTGAACTTAGGTTCATATTTTTTATTGGTCACTGAACTTTAAAATGTCGAATTTTTGTTACTGAATTTAGGTTTATATTTTTTATTAGCTACTGAACTTTAAAATGTCTAGTTTTGACCATTGAACTTTGAAAAAAGTTAAGTTTTGGTCATTGAACATTGGACCTGTTTTCGATTGCTTATTGAAATTTAAAAGTCACTGAACTTTGAAAAATATTATACAATATTCACTGAACTTTGAAAAATATTGTATACTAATCACTAAACTTTGAAAAATGTTGTAATTATTCACTGTAAACTCGGTAATTTTCAAAATTCAACAGTTATGCTAGTGAGTAATGTAGGGCATATTCTAAAATTCAGTGACCAAAATTCGACATTTTAAATTTCAGTGAGCAATAGAAGATATGGTTCTAAGTTCAGTGGCCATCACTCGATATTTTTCAAAGTTCAGTGGCCAAAACTCGATATTTTAAAGTTCACTAGCCAATCAAAGGTATGAACCTAAATTTAGTTATCAAAATTTGATATTTTTCAAAGTTCTGTGACTAAAACTATACATTTTAAAGTTGGGCGACCATTGGAACAATTAACTCACGCGCAGAGCATCTAGTACTTTTCTTCTTCTTTCATTGCACTGATTTTCTTCATTTCCTTTGCTGTTCTTTTCCGTTTCTTTCTCCTGCTTCTTCTTCTTCTGCTTCTTCTTCCTCCCCCATGACAGATTTTAGGAATCGAATTGGCTCACAGTATGACTCACAAGGCCCGAATTACAGTAGGCCTACGTCATCTTCCGGCCATCCGATGTATGGACAACCAACATCACTCTATCCCAAGATCGGTGGCGCCACTGCTCACTCCGCCAATTCCCTTTCCGCCAGTGGCCACGGCCGTAATCCTCCTTTCCACTACGCTCCCTCTCCACCTTCTAGCTGTATGCTTTTTTCTTTCCTATATCATTGCACCTATTTATTCTAATAATTTCATGTATCTATATATATGTTTTGTAAAGTCTGTTTTGTTGATCCGTTTTCATATTTGATTTACAGCTGGAATTGGGATTAGGGTTGCTATTAAACCCGAGTATCGAATTACACCGCCGGTATATATTTACTGTGTTTATCCGTGTATAAATGTTTAACTGCATTCATGTATATGTATTTCTATTATTACGTAATCTTTGCCCATATCAATAATATGTACAAATTCATCATTCGTGTAAATTGAATGTTTGATTGTGTATTCATTGGCACTCCTGTAGCCTCAATTGTTGCCACAAGTTGGAGAGATTCCACGATGCAATTTTCACTTTGATTTTGAATTTGAGAGGAATGTTTTGGCTGAAGCTGTCAAGGAAAACCCCAATTGGCGAAGGCTTGGGATAGAAATTGTTCCACCTAAAACAGCAGAATCATCCTCTTCTTATGTATGCATCCTTTTATTCAAAGTGAATTTTAGTTTATATCCTGATGCCCTTAAAATCTTTTAAATAAAACAGTTAAATCTGACTGGTTAAGATTGTGAGAATTCTTGTTAAATTGAGAAGTAACTCAGAATTTAACTAGGTATATTGATGCCAGTGCCGAGAAGTATCAATCTGGATGGTGTCTAATTCCATATGGGTTACTTCAAAATCATTCTGAGTCCATGCAAATTACGCTTGAGTCTTTAGAAGTCAGCATTAGATTACTAGGAAGTAAGACTTTAATATGGCCTCTTAACGGATGAAGTAAGATTGCTGTATGGCATAATTATCCATAAAATAAAGCTCATCTTGATGGATAACCTATGTAATATGAGCAAGCTGAAAAAATTTTCAGCCAACAACATTGAAGTAGCTTTCTTGTATTAAATGAGACGGTCTATCTGACATGATTTTAATCTGCCCTAATCCACTATGATTGAGGTGAACTTGATTTTGCCATGCTTTTGAAGCAGAGATTATTATTAGTCTTTACACATTATCACAAAATATTTTGAGTACTGCTATCTTTAAGTAATAAGTAATATAAATTATGGGTTTGCAAATGCCAGTAGGAATGTAAATGAGTCTAGTGAAATTTGGATTTGATATCTAGGTTTATTATATCAACTTAACGTTGCAAGAGTTGAATTCATCAATATCCTGGTAAAATTGATATCTGATCATTACATCCATTAAATTAAGTTCAGGGCCCTACTGTAGATCCTGTAGTGAGCAAGTATATAGCATCAGGTCTTGGCAGAGAGGCAGTGCCACTTGCAGTTGCAAATTATGGAGACGATCCCGCCAAGGTATACTGCCTCAAGTTTTTATTTTCAGCACTTTGCATATATGTCATGATTTGATATGTACCTTACGGCATAAACGTGTTGCAGTATACTTGAAAGGTCCACGACACCCCCCTCCCCCAAAAAAAGAAAAAAAATAGGAATATGAATGAATTTCTAGAGGTAATATTAACTTAAGCAACTTACTAGCTCATCAAACACTGTGTGTGAAAATAGATGGTGTGTGAGCAAGTTCATTGTTTACGAACAATATAAGAATTAGAATGCTCATTGTTATTGACCAGGAAAAAGGATGGAGTTTGTCTTTTCTTTCTTGTAGATATAATATTTTGTCATTGGGAAAATGTTATGTCGAATCAGCTGTCTATATTTGCACTTAAGAGGAAAACTGAAAATGCAGTTTTTGATTATGTTCAGGTTAAAGAATTTGCCAATGGCTATACTCTTTTGCGAGAGATGGGGTTCCCGTCAAACAGCGTTGCTGAAGCCTTACTCATGTTCGACAATGATACGGACAAGGCACTGGCTCATGTTATCAGCAATTCATCCTAAATAACAGAGTTGGGAACATTTTGGCGTGTTATTAATTGTTTTATGTTACGAACAGTAAATGTACTGTTGTAGTAAGCAAACTAAGTTTTCATAACTATTCTTATTCGAATGTAAAGGGATTGCTGCTGAAATAAACAATTTGCCTTTTCAATTAGTTTTGCCTGTTCTTCAATTTTAGAACTTGCCATTGTGCTAGTTGCAAACCGTGCTATGGAGAGATGATTGCCAATTTCTTCATAAACCGTGTGTTTACATTCTGTTGCTTCAAACCGGATTGCATCAAGATGGTTGAGCCACTAAGAGGCAAATATGTAGGACTACAAACTTGGGTGTTATATGAGGCCTTGTTTGAGCTGCATTGTTTCAAAAAAAGAAATATATTCTTAAACAGTGATTTGACATTATTTTAACTACACATTCTTTAATAAAATAATATTAGGCGTAAATCTGAAATATTTTTTCATTTTTTAATCACACATTTTTCATCAATCTGTTATTTCAAAATACATTCTTTCAAAATAATGTGCCTCAAACACACACCAAGTATAAAAGAGTAATTTAAGGATGAAAATAATCACGTAAAAGAAATTAAAAAAAAATTGAATATAAATAAGTTCGATTTTATTAAGGACAGAGTAGAAAATGTTCATAGTCCACGTTACACATGTTTGTGGCCTAGTAGTGTCTGAGATTTTGGGCCGATTAGTATTTTTATATTATATATATATATTCCCAAACGACGCCGTAGAGTGTAATGTGTTTGTACGTCTTGAATATCTTATATAAATTAAAGAGATTAAGAGGGTAATTGGTGAGAATTAAAATTAGATTTTTGAATAAATTGTGATAGAAATTTTTGAAGTTTATGTTTGAAAAGTTGTGGGATCCATAAAAAATATCGTTAATATTAATTATTTTACTTTGCTTTAAATTAAAATCAAATTTTAATCCGAACCAGACGCTAAAATATAGATTCATCTTCAATAGTGTTACTTTCGGCTAAAAGTCGAAATGTTCCCAGTTGGTCCACAAGAATAAACCAAAAAAAT